ACTCAACTTTTTTTGCATCCTGTACTGGAAGCATTTGTAATTGCCTGCAATCGCTGCTAGAAGCACGACACCTGCAGCGAAAGGCATTACAAGAGTTCTAGCGGCCGGCTGCTCTGATCGTTAGTTTTCCGTGGTTTCTCCGATCAACGCCACGCGAATGCCGGAGCGATACCGTAACAAATGGGTCATGGACCGCGCGCGATCTTTCCTTCTCATTACGTGGTCTATCCTACCCCTTACTTACACACACGTGCATGCCCTACACTACCACACATGACCGGTCGGGAGATTAGAGCTTGTCACGGTTCCAGTCGTGTCCCACTGGTGGGAGATAACTGGTTAGGAAAAAACTCGCTAGCCGACGGTAGGTGGACACCGATCTCGCCATCCAGCGGGCGAGAACCACCGCCATCTCCTCAGCAAAACATTAACTAAACGTATGGGACTAATAACCCTAGTAAATAAAGCATCCAAAATCATTAACAATCAATCCACCAATCTGCCTACTTGGCAGCTGGGGTGGTGTAGAGCGATATTGCTATTTACTCTGGTGGCAGACACGTGGTCGATATATCGTTCTCGCATTAGATCCTAAAGCAGCAGCTGTAGCTGGTAACACATCGCAATAAGAACACACAACAGTAGACGACACAGAACCGTACACACGATGCGTAACCATAGACATAACGGCGCTCTTTAATTTTCATTTTCTTTGCGCTGGTAGGTTTCATTTTTTTCTTTATAGGTATCGACTACCTGCATTGTCAACATAAGAACGTGAAGCCTCTGATTGGATAATGGAACACCCTCTCTCCTGTCAACCGCTATCTTTCAAGTACACAGAAAGTATCTTTCAAGTACATTATCATTATCTTCCTTTACGGATTAAGCAAATTGCCTGTTCCTACCTCTTTCCATCTCATTTTTGACCTTCCATTATTTCTCTTTTCTCTCAGCTTATAATGCAGGGCTTGCACTGGAAGGCTGCTTGCAGCATATTTCCAATGTGAGTGACTCATTTCTGCCTGTACTTTCCAATTTTGTCGTATACTGTTTCTTGCAGAAATATTATCAGTTCAGAAATATTATTCGAACAACAATTAAGAAGAATCAAATACTGAAAGTCGGATAAATTGACTGATGTATTGACATTTCCGGGCAAGTCAAATGCTACGGTCGTTACACCCTTTTGCGTAGTGAATAGTTTATCCCGGGAAGGGATGGTGCTTCCGTTAACAGTGAAAGGTATGACCCGACACCGACATACATGTCGAGTTGCACCGAAACCATTTGCAGTCACTTTCCAACTGCGGTGCATCGTCCCAGTCGTTGCAGGTTGTAAGCATACAAGTTCAAAATCTTTTCTCCAGATACATGCAGTAGTGTAGTCTATTTAGTTAGTAGCGAAATGAAACACCAGTCGGGACTGGAACTCTAGAACCACCAGTCAGGGTCACTGAAGAGATACGTAAAGCTGGCTCTGAGTTCATTTCAGCGATACGAACTTTTAGAGTATGTATTACACTTTCAGATATTTCAAATTGGTTCCGTAATAACAAACTAATAGTAACAGTTTCAATCCACCCCAGAATATTTCTATTGCCATATCTTATGGCGAATGAAACATTGCGAAAATATACACACGAAGCAGTATGAATACTGGAATTGAAATAATTCTAAAATGCTAGCATAAAGAATTCAATTTAGTGTTCGAATTTTATTTTTCAAATGGACGATCCATTAGCGTTGGAATGAAAAGCGAATGACCTAAATATTTTGTAGCATAAAAAAAAAAAAAAAAAAAAAAAAAAAAAAAAAAAAAAAAAAATTTATGAATGCACGCCCTTCATTTTCAGTTGAGTGCAGACTGTTTATTTGAAATGAAAACTGGATTGAAAACTGTTACTATTGTTTGTTATACGGAACCCGAATTTGAAGATATTCTGAAAGTGTTAATACATACTCTAAAAATTCGTAGCCGCCTGAAATGAACTCAGAGCCAGCTTTACGTACTCTTCAGTGACCCTGACTGGATGTTCTAGAGTTCCAGTCTCCGACTGGTGTTCATTTCGCTACTAGCTAAATGACACACTACTGCATGTATCGACCGAGAAAATTTTGAACTTGTACGCCTACAAAACCTGCAACGACTGGACGATGCCCCGCAGTTGGAAAGTGACTGGAAATAGTTTCGTGCAACTCGACATGATATCGTCGGTTGTCGGTCATACCTTCACTGCTTAACAGAAGCCACCATCCCTCCGGTATAAAACTATTCACTACGCAAAAGGGTTTGCTTGTAACGACCGTAGCATTTGACTGCCCGGAAATGTCCAATACAATCAGTCAATTATCCGACTTTCATGTATTGTGATTCTTCTTAATTGTTGTCCTCGGAATAATATTCTGAACTATTATATTTCTGCAAGAAAAACGAGTATCGACAAAATTGCAAATTACAGGCAGAAATGATCACTCACATTGCGAAATATGCTGCAAGCAGCCTTCCAGGCAAGCCCTGCATTATAAAAGCTGAGACAAAGAGAAATAATGGAAGCGTCAAAAATAGATGGAAAGTGGAACAGGCAATTTGCTTAATCGCTAAAGCGAAGATTAATGATAATTACTTGCGAAAGATACTTTCTGTGTAACTGAAAGATATCGCCGTTGACAGGAGAGAGCGGTGTTCCATTATACCAATCAGAGGCTTCACGTTCTTATGTTACAATGGCAGGTAGTCTATACCTATAAAGAAAAAATGAAACCTACCAGCGCAAGAAAATGAAAATTAGAAGAGCCCGTTATGTCTATGGTTACGCATCGGTGTACGTTCTGTGTCGTCTACTGTTGTGTGTCTTATTGCGATTGTTACCAGCTACAGCTGCCTCTTGAGATCTAATGCGAGAACGATATATCGACCACGTTCTGCCACCAGAAGTAAATAGCAATATCGCCTCTACACCACCCCAACTGCCAAGTAGGCAGATTGGTGGAATTGATTTTAATGCATTTTGGATGCTTTATTTTACTAGGGTTATTAGTCCCATACGTTTAGTAATGTTTTGCCTGAGAGATGGCGGTGTTCTCGCCCGCTGGAGCGAGACGCGTCCACTACCGTAGGCTAGCGGGTTTTCCATAACGCATTTATCTACCCACCCATGGGACACTACTGGAACCGTGACAGCTCTAATCTCCCGACCGGTTCTCCCGGCATGGGGTAGTGTAGGGCATGCACGTAGTGTGTAAGTAAGGCGGTAGGATAGACCACGTAATGAGAGGAAAAGATTCGCGCGCGGTCCATGACTCATTTGTTTACGGTTATCGCTCCGGCAATTCGCGTGGCGCTGATCGGGAAAACCACGAAACTAACGATCAGAGCAGTCCGGCCGCTAGAACTCTTGTAATGCCTTTCCGCTCAGGTGTCGTGCTTCTAGCAGCCGATTGCAGGCAAATTACAAATGCTCCAGTACAGATGCAAAAAAAGTTGAGTTCGCAGGGAAGCTAATTCCCTAGGAGGAGCGTCGGGTGGTGCAGCGAGTTCAAGTAACAGAGACCAAGTCCGATGAAGTGATGAAATGTAATTGAAAAATAGAGCTGCAGAGCAGCCGTAAGTGACCCAGCAAAGTTCTCTGGGCTGTCTGTCCGATATCAACGCTAGAGGATCCTTATATTGGAAACAGGGAGCATTTACGAGGCCATTACGCACCCCCGCCAGAAACTCGCATGCCCTGCACGCAATAAACTGACATAACTGTCAGAGGACTTTGCCCTTGAAAACTCACAATATCCCAAAACATTCCTGTTTCCACGTCTGATCTTGTTAGCCCGTTGACGCGGTTTGGGAGCCCAATCACCATGACTCAGGCAGGCGCCTTGCCTCCAGACGCGACCCTAATTTAAACATGTTTGAAGGGTATATTTCTTTCACATCAGTTTCAAAGAAAATACCATTGCTCTCTTAAGCAATGCGTACTTCATATGTACGTAGTGGCATTTACCATTTAACACCTCCTCCAGACAGCGGACGACCTAGATACATGCCGGGGTCGCAAAATCCTGCCACCGCAGGAACTCGAACTAGAAACATTCGGTCAGAGGACGCAGTGACATCAGCTGGATGTCCTGAGCCACCTCTCCCGTCATTTAGACATATATTATTATTAGCAGTAAGGGTATTCCAAAGTGGGCGCGTTATGTCCATGTAACATGCTGTTGTTGTGCCAAACGCAGGAGCAGCTGCCACCCTGCCTCGGCCGTGGAGGAGCGCTGCGCTATCCGCTGGCTGGAGCGCGAGCGCCTGCGCCAGATGCTGCGCGACGGCGGCGCCCCTGGCGGCGCGCGGGCCCTTACTTGCGCGCGCCCCGCGCCGCACCGCCCCCGCCACCCCCACGCCTGCCACCGACCCCGCCGCGCCCTAGCCGCCGCCGCCCGTCGCCGCCGCTGCCGCAGGCTGCCCTCTCTCCTCCGTCTTGTGCCTCGACGCAGGGGGCCTCGCCCCGCCCCCGCCCGGCCCCTCCCCCCGCCAACTGTCCACGCCCCGCGGGGCCACCCGCCCCCAACCAGAGCGCGGCGGCCGCCCCCGCCAGCGACTTGTGCTCCAGCCCCAACTCGTTCCTCCTCCTCCTCCCACCACACACACGTCGGGGCGGCGCCCGTGACACGCATGCGTCAAGAAACGCGACGTCGGCCCAACCCGGCGAAGAATGACGTTTCCCGAATGGTACAGATGTCTCAGAATAAAATTTACGGAACTTCCAACTCATATGCGAGCAGGCTTTTGTCACTATGCACATGAACATTTATGTAAATCTTGCAAAGCGAATTTAACATGTGACGTTCTTCTGGTTGAGTAAAGGACCAATTTTCCCCCATGGCGTGTGGATATCACGTTCTGTTGCCAGTCAAACAGTGTACCGCTAGGTAGCAAAAAGGGGCCCACATTCTAAGGGAACAATGCGTATCTACAATAGATGCTTCATCGTTCGTCTCTGTTAGAGACATTCCTCCACCCAGCCACTCAGTAACCATTCCGAGCGATAAACAAAAATCCGTACACTACAAAACCAGTAAGAAAGCATCAGTAGCCAAAACATAAGTACACTATCTCTGCGCGATATTCTGCCTCTAGGCCACATATGCGTAGTGCTACTACACTCCCTCATCCCAATGCTATCATCCACTTGCCTGCTCTAGCCTGAGGCTTAAGTGCGAGATAATAAAATGGTCAGTTCACACCAGCGTAAATTTCGAACTGAGTTGAACTTTTAGCACAGTGAGAGAGATACAAGAAAATATAATCATTAACCAGAGTATACATAACCAATGTTTGACCAAAACCCCGCTGATACTTGCAAGCCATAACTAACTATTAGCGCGAAATTTGTGGCCGGTGTAAATTAGAGTACTAAAACAGATAGACCTTTAGAACTCTGAGGAAATTGCATCCGGATATGTAACCTTACATTCTTTCAATCCTTATACGATCGGAAATAGCTCACTAGACGCGTCCAGAACTGAATACATTCTACACAAGAATTTATTTTAATATAGACCGAGCCCATACCCACAATGTTTATAAATATATTGTTTTGGTTCCCAAGAAAGAGATATCTGCGAGCTAAGACAAGAAAGCATGAAGATAATAAATAGTAATCGAGAGATATTACCACTATCCAAATAAGCAATAATACAAACTGACCTACAACTCCTATTACCAAACGTCTCCGCCTTGTTATGTGCTCCCTATATCTATACGTGGTCAAAAATTCATGAACAATTAGTACAAACTGCAACAATATGACAAGTCATCATAAAGCCCAATAACCCAAACTATAAAAATCCCACGAATTTGATCAACTCGTGCCAATAAAAAATCCCCACAAAGGCCTCCTTTTTTGTGTGACACACAACATTATGCAGGAAAACATCCTTGCGAAAAAGTGGCTATTCGAAGCATCGTACTAAGTAACAGAACGATAATCTAAATACTAGAGACATATTATGATGCCTTTAGAAGATTTTTATAATCTTATAATAACAAACCACATATACAATTATAAATACTATTATTCTCCCACTAACTTTCTTTAATTTGATTAATCTTAAATTAAATATGATATCTAGCCCATATAGCAAACATAAAATATAAAGCATATACTCGTTTACATCACTTAATCAAAATACTCAATAACCACACTAGATTTATTCACAAGAGGTAAGATCAATTGATATTTATTTTTATCGATTCCAAATCACAGATAAGTATACCTACATAAAACCAATCTGTACTTTCATAATGTCCTATGAACATATACTAGCTTTGACACCAAGAGAATCAGACAACAATCAACGTAATGGGATAAAATGGCAAATTTTGCCGATCCGTAAATCGATCATAAATATAAGCTCACCGTTAACTGCAAACTATCATCAGACCTAGTCAAAATTGACCATGCATTTGAACCTCATCTTTAAAAGCACAGAAATACCTAGGTACGCGACCAAACAAGTGTAGGGACATTAGCCTAATCTTAAAACCTATTCCGATGCTACTTAAAATACCACGGAATCTTCATTCCTACTAGAAACAACTTCGCAATCGAATTTCAATCTACTCAAAATTTCAATGTTCTAATCACAGACGACCAAAAAGATCGTTACTCTAGATACAAATATGAAAACCCACTTAATAAAAAAGAAAATATAACACATACACCTTAATTATACAAATATAAACTTAACTGTATACTGAGTGCACGACAATAACGACAGACGCGTCATTAAGAAGTCACTGATGTGAAGCTGTTTTATGGCATTCTTGTTCGAACACACAATAAAGTTTGTATTACAATGCGCTCACCCGTACACGATCATGAGTTATCAAAAGACGAGTTATCTAGTACCGCGGTAATTAGTAATACACGAAATAAAATGTAATCAGTCAATATCTAGATAACAGTGCACAATATATAAATTCACACACTCCTAATCGATCTAACAATTACCAGTAGTCATTAAACATATATACACCCGTAACCAACATTCCAAATTCACCATCGTAACAAAATCAATCAAATATGATAAGCACGATGATCTAAAAATTAACCTCAACACACAACAAACCCGCGACAACACTTTCACGAAATTTGATATACTCTAATCAAAAATTTATGTTAATTCATCTAGATTAATGATTTCAAGAGACATGACAGTAACCTATAACAACTCTAATCGTAATCATTGTTACTATTAATAAAATTATAATGAGATCTCAACACTATCAATGCATTAATTTGTCGTTGAACCAAATCGAGCCAAATTAACATTATACCACTAATTTCCACTCTTAAACCGATCCTATTTCGAACTCGAATCACATATTAACACGCGCTCTACGACGATAATTAACCCTCATTAACTTAAATCATAAAAATATACACAATACTGCCAGAAAAAAGCTGTGAGTTAATTTACTATTATGAACAAAGGAGTATTCTCCAACAAATAATATCTGAGAATTATTCTAGTGCATAGCTATGCTTCACTCGAGAAAGAACCTAAAGAAATCAAAATAGCGTATATAACGGAACGCACCTCATATCCCACACACATTCTATTATCCATTACATGTAGTCAGAACATAACGAAAAACATCTTACTGTAATTATAGAGAAAAGATCGTCTCTACCGTCTATGAGTATTTATTTTTCATTATTATTCTAGTGTACACCTGATATTGATAAATATATTTCACACAAGTGTTATAACGGCAAGTAATATAGTTCTTTTACCATATACATCGCTTTTGGCTCGATTTACATGTATAGATCCTATCTGCTCGATGTACATACACGCGATTACTACATATTTTCTATATAGAATATTATTCAGTAAAACTATCATAACCTTAGTGTTAATTCGTATATTTTTGGGACT